CAAAGAATGTTATTTACTATCTATCAATCCGTGGATAATCCAAATGACACAAGTAATTATTGCAAAACACCTAATGATTTATTTATATTTTAGTAGCTACAAGTAGATGATAGATAGTGAATACCTAGAGTAACTATCAGCTATTAAAAGTCAATAAGCATCACTTCTAATCTATAATAAAACTGTTGTTAGTTTCCGTTTCTGATATTAAGATCCATTATACGTTTGCGACAGCGTTTTAGCGTACAAGTTCCACCGTGTATACTACTTACACCATTTCTCGACGTGCTCGATCTAAATATCGCGGTCTCCCGGCTGGAATTGTTGTGTGTAAAACGCAGGTAGTTTTCGTATGAAAATAGCCTTGTATAAAAGTCAAATTTGTGTCGTTTTCCACTACATCAAAATAATCTTATTTCTGATGATGGCAGAAGATTCTGTCGAAAAATCAAAACAAATTTTCGCTGTAATTCGTTAATCATGATATTTACAGCAGTTTTATATTTCATTTTTCAATTATTCTATAATTCAACCGCTCCTTATTCGACTACATCTTTATTTAGTAATTCTTTATATCGGTTACCGAGCATGTCAAAACTTAAATTCAAATTTATTTTATTTTGTATAGTCTCGGTTTATTTGATTGCATTGTCGATTCATACATCGGCATAAATATTTTTCCAATGTATTCGCATTTTTCAACAGACATGTCTCTCTCTAAAGAATAAAATCGGAAAGTAACAAACTTTATATTTTCATCAAATGTTCATATATTTTATTCAAGGACGAGAGTGCTCACTTGAAACTTATTATATCTTGGTCTAGGACGTTGATGAAGAGCTCGGATTTGCAGTATAACTAGTGGAAGTCGAATACTACCTATAATCAATAACATATGCAAAAATAATTTTTACATCTGTGTGAACATATGCGCACAAGATGATGCAATTTTGCTGAGATAAGCAGTTAAAGTTTCCTTATTGTATTGAGTGTTACTTCTACCCATTGTATAAGTACACCGATACTATGAATTATGAAATCGATCCATGCAAGGCTATTGGGTGTTGAGCTCGAAGGCCGGTCGAGAAGCTACAGAAATAAAAAGAAATTAATGTAGGGCTTTCTTGTAAATTCTATAACTTAGCAACTATGCCGATTTTCTCCTGCACGTATGCCGGCATATACACTTAGTAAAACCTAGTCTTTAAACACTATTAATTAAGGTTACATGTTTTTGTAGTTATAATTTTATGTCTTCAAGAAGTTTTAAGAGAAAGTGATCAATGATATCTTATAGAAATACAAATTGAATATACTATTAGTCTGAAAACATTTCTTCGTGTAAGATACCTCGAATATAAATGAGTAAAAGCATTCAGACATATCGAGAGAGAGGTTATCAAGAGTTCACAGAAAGTGTTTGGTAAGGAAAAGATGAACACTGACTCCTATCTCGAAATACTTGGACCAGTAGGGAAATATCCTTTACATATTGAAATGGTGATAAGTTGATGCATTTTAGTAGTCGTCAAGGTATGTCAAATATCCTTGAGTGTGAAACTTTTGATGGGGGCGACTGCGATACATTACCCAAAAGAATGCAGCATGCGAGAGCTGCTATGCATAAGTGTAAAATGGAGTCTCTGTGGACCTGGCTTGCTCACGCAAGAGATGATTTGGAAGACTTGAAACGTGGTGAGAGAACAAAATGCGAGAAACGAATTGTAAAAATTGACGAGAATGATGCGGAAGAAGCAGCTCTCAAGGCGATTGCAAATAAGAAACATTTAAATGATCGTCATTCATTGAAGTATATTAATATTGTCGAAGATTTATCTAGACGCAATGCTATTTATATCCTTTAGGATGTGCAAAACTATCTAGAGAAAATAAACCTAAAATATATGCTAACAATGGTCGTATATATAATCATGGAAGTTTAAAAAAAAGACTTATCTACAAACAGAAGATGATATTGATAATATTACAAAGTTAGACGTTTAGTTTGATCTTTTCACCATCAGATGATGAAACGATTAAACTAAGCTTTATCATCAATGGCTAATGTACAGTTATTCATAGAATTATTTCTGTTTAATCAACATATATCACCTAATTGTTTTTGTATAGAAGGATCGAGTAAAGCATTATATTTTCATCATTTTCCGCGTGAAAGATTGATAAGTACTCTAGGTGTTTTGCAATAATTACTTGTGTCGTTCGGATTATGCATGGGTTGATAGATAGTAAATAACATTCTTTGTTCAAAATTTACCTTGATAATTGTCCTTTATGAAACTTATGAAGGCTTTTTTAATGCACATGCATCTGTTAGCGCTGTTAGGTGGGGAGCTAATGCATAATTAATACTCTTCCTTGATAATTGCTCATGTTCAACTTTACAAGTTCGATTTCGTTTCAATTATTTTATTCTTCTCAAATAAAATTATCCGAATTATGTATAAAAGGAAAAGAGAGAAAGCGGGCCAAAGAATAATCTGAAGACTTGTAAGATAGAGACGATTGGTACTCACATTTGTAGGTGCAATTTAACTTTGCTCACTACCATGATGAAAACAAACAGACTCATATGACGCGAAACAGCCGCAGTCAATACATTTTATATTTTGGAACATATAGGGCTGAATATTTGATTTTCCAGGAAGATACGGAATTTGAAATAACACTTAATCACTTAAGCGACACGTCAGAACTTAAGTACATAAACACTTAACTCCAAGGTGCACATACTAAAGTGAGGTTCTTTCTCCTTGATTGTAAGCCGCTTTAGACGATGACTTCAAAACAAAATCCACGATCACGGATACATATATCGCCGGTCCGTTCCAAAGCACTCAAGAACAAAATTATGCTCGAATCGCCCGACAGTGACTACGATGATGAGGATGAGAAACCTTGATCACTTTCTCTTAAAACTTCTTGAAGACAAAATTATATCTACAAAAACATGTAATCTTAATTAATAGTGTCTAAAGACTAGGTTTTACTAAGTGTATATGCCGGCATACGTGCAGGAGAAAATCGGCATAGTTGCGAAGTTATAGAATTTACAAGAAACTCCCACATTAATTTCTTCTTATTTCTGTAGCTTTTCGATCGACCTTCGACCTCAGCCGTGGATCAACCAAGAGCCTTGTATGGATCGATTTCATAATTCATAGTATCGGTGTGCTTGTACAATGGATAGAAGTAACACTCAATACAATAAGAAAGCTTTAACTGTTTATCTCAATTGCATCATCTTGTGCACATATGTTCACACATATGTAAAACTTATTTTTGCATATGTTCTTGATTATAGGTAGTATTCGACTTCCACTACTTATGCTGCAAATACGAGCTCTTAATCAATGTCCTAGACCAAGATATAAACATCACAAATTTGACTTTTATACAAGGCTATTTTCATACGAAAACTACCTGCGTCTTACACACAACGATTCAAGCCGGGAGACCGCGATATTCGGATCGGGCATGTCAAAAAACGGTGTTCACCTAGATTTGAGCTTGAAGGCAGGCAAAAGATTTTTCTCGAAATTTTTGCCTGAGGTCCTCAGGTGGCTTGCCTAAAATTTTGGATGAAAACTTTTTGTTTTGAAACACATTGAATTATATATCATTTGATGCAGTTTGCTTCTTAGATTCCGAATATCACATTGGTTTTGTATAAAAATGCTCTGAACGTTTAAAATTCGAGTTTTCCGTTTTTTACGTTCTGCATATATAAATTTGTATTCACTGAGAAAAAGAGGAAAAATAGATTTATTTTTCTTGTTGCTTCCAATGTGACATTCCACGTTGTTTCTTTTATCATCTACTGTCCTCGATGTAAGAACATTTGGTCAGTACTTACATTTTCTCATTTGAGTGAGAAGAGGTGCCTCTCAATCACATTTTAAGCTCCATTCAAATTTGAAGGTTTTACATTTCGGAAACATGTATTGTCAGAAATATACGCCTCTCCGGAAAAATTTAATTAAGACAAAAACTCGTTTTTTCTACTTACGTACAAAATTCTAAGCTCTAATTTTAGTCTCATTAGACAGAATACATCTAATTACATATGCATAAGTATTTTTGGACATTTCATCCATTTTCTTGAATACTTCAAACACCATGAGGTCATGTCAAATCTAAATATGTTACATATTCCGATTCCTTACGAAACTCAAACACTTTCTATAATGATATCCCAATATTCTGCAAGCATGGTCTGCCTTCTATATAAAGCAGAGAAGCAGACAATCAGATAATCTTATACGTTGAATATTCAGATTTGAATATTCTCTAAGTATGGTCTATCTTCCCTATTTCTGGGTAACATCTTCCCTCTAGTTCAAATCAAGAGAATTTACAAGCATCACAATGAACGAAATTTGTTAAAAATATGGTAATGGCAATTGATTCATTTCATGTTAAAAATCATAATTGCCCTATGTGTAAAACGTTTATGCTACCGACTCATCCATTACATAACGGTATTTACGATAATATTAATTCACAGATAGCGGAACAGATGTTTTCGTATGTTTCAAAATTTAAAAATTCATTTCATGGCTATCATTATCCAAAATCCACTATGTTCTTTTTATTACTATTTCATCTCAAGAATTGTCGTACAGTTGGGCTTGATACATCCGAACAATCAGTATTTCTAACATAATCAATGTTTTGTGATGTACATAGTCATTTCTCTGTTGCTTGTATATCATTTTGCATAAAGCGACGTTCTCTTGTAATAAAAATAAATTACTGTTCAAAATGAGCTCTAATTTAAAAACTCAGAATCCAACACACCTCCAGTTAAGAATGTTGGAAATGACTTTCGCTTTTTCAGCTGACTTGAGATGAACACTGTAGAACTATTTCACTATTTCAGTTTATATTCTTCATTTTCATTAATTACATCATTTTTTCTATAGTAAATTTAATTATTCCAAATAAATTTTTAGACCATAAAATAAGATATTCTAAACATATCTCAACGTTGCAATTTTAATTTTTCTTCTTTCTCATACCAGAATCCGACTTTCTTTCTCTACCACATATCTGCCGTTCAGTACATGCAATATTATTACTCCACTCACTCTCACTATCCACTTAGACGCACACAGACCATACTTACAGAATATTCAAATCTAAATATTCAACATATAAGATTATCTGATGGTGTGATTCTCTGCTTCGCAAGAGGCACACGCCATACATAGTAAATATTCTTAAATCAGTATGAAAAACATTGGAACACTGGAAGAAATCTAAACATGTAACCTATTTAGATTTGACATCAACTGAACACCATTAGAAATGTAAACTCATGCTTTATCTTAGAATAGCTTCTGAAAAAGTTCTGAAATTTCCGAAGTTACACCACAGATTTTACCTTTTATTTATGATGGCACCAAAAAGCACAAGTTTTATGAACAAGAAAAATCCATCCCTAAAGGATGTAGTTTCAGGTTAATTTCACCATGTTTTGCCCTGCTTTCTCTTCGGAAATACGATGCAATTCATTTTAGGTTCAATCAGAGATTGGGATCAAAAGAAGTACATAGCAAGTTTATCGGCGTCTCTTTCAATTACCGTGTACTTTCTCTAAAGTTATCATTCCGCTTCCTCAATTTTTCCCTTTATATATATATTCGTGTATCTTCGCTGAAAAACAAAATTGTATTTTCCTCTTGTCACATGTACTGTCCAACGTGCAGTTCGATACTTTTCTGTTTTGTGTATTAGAACACGAAAAATTTCATGTTAACTCTTTTCTAAGTTTTGAAGCCATTTCTAAACGTGGAAAAAAAATTTCGGTTTCCCGAGTAGAGGAGAGTCAGGGCTATGGGGCTATATAAAAATATTTAAGATTCGTCTGCTCATTTCTTATTAATTAAGGCAAGAATGAAGGTTACTATGAATTTCTTTCCTTTTTTTGTCTGTTTCAAATAAGAACACGACGTGCATTTTCTGTTCCTAAACAGAGCACGTGCATACAAATACATGGACTTTTTAAGTAAAGTCAGAAGAAAAGATGTGGGCGCTACCCGAAGTGCAAAATCAAGGTATATGTTCGCAACAAAATATGTTCAGAAAAGTGAGGACTATAAGTACTGAAAAACTCCAGTATTACAGACGAGCTTTTTCTATACTTTTGTCTTCTCTATTATTTCATTTAACTCCCAATTTGAATCTATATTGGCTTTTGTGGATGCGCGTTTTTGATCAGCCATCATAAAACTCATCTCTACAAACTGAGCTATTCAGAATGTCTCGACTGGCCGACTCAGTCGTCAAAAACGTCCAAAAGAAGCACTGAAGTACGAAAAACACGTGCAGCACAGTCCTTTAGTCACTTTTCTGTCCTAATGAAAAATACACTTCTCTATAGTATACTGCTCGATAGTCGTTGAAAGTCTCCACAAACTGAGCTAGTCAGACCATCTTCACCGGTTACGCCAGTCTGTACAGACATCTAAAAGAAGCCTTCGAGCACCGAAAACATCAATATAACACTCTTTTAGTCAATATTTTCAATATAAAGTAATATGGACCTGACCGCTATAAAACCTGACCGCTTAATAACCAAGTCTTTGGTTTTTGGTCAGGAATCTTTTCAAACCATATAATACAGAATGCGTTGTCGTAGCTGAGGAGGACGTATTATTATCTGGAGCTAATGATTTCATAGGTATTCTATGTGCATTTCTATATCACAGTAATCTACACTTAGACGTTAGAAGTTCGTAAACTATATTTGTGTGAGGTATGAAAAACCGTAAAAGGATAAGGGCTCTTAGGACTTCTCTCTAGAGTTATCGGTATTTTACTGGAATTTTCGCCTGTGGCATGG